TGCAGCTGTCAGGTTTTCTTTTTCTTTTGTTTTTATTCGCGATCTTTACAACACGCATTACATTACGTATTTCATGGCACACTCGTTTTATGCATATTTGGCGCCACCTATTGTTGTGGGTGTATTATTGACATGTCAAAGTCTAGACCCTGAATATAAGACGACCGCGTTTTTTCATATGTATTTCCAAGAAAAAAACATCGTCTTATATTCGGGACAATACGGTAGGTTTTTAACATAATTAAAAATATTTAATGAACGATTTGATTGACAGAAATGGTTCTTGAGGCAAAGTTGCTCATTATGAGGAGGTCTATCAAATGATATGCATATTGTGTGGATGTGTGAAACACCACGTGATTACAGAGCCATAAAACTCGATAGCACCAACTAGTGGCTGATTTCTTTCAAAATTCTTACAGACCTTTAGGGCCATGAGTCGAACATGCCCACCGAGTTTCGTTCCGATCGATCTCCGTTAACCTTGTCAAATAGGTGCTTAAATTTGTTTGGCCAATGACGGCCATGTTTTTTTAGATACGCGAATGTCCTCATAAACACTTGTGCCACTTTGGACAAAGACACTGTATACCAATTTTCAAGTCGATCGGACCAACGGTTGCGCAGTTAAAGTCATTTTTATGTTTTTTTTCCATCTTATAGCGCCACCAAGTGGCAGAGCTGCGCAATTTTTTTATTTGACCAAAGATTGAGCTCATACACATGTGCACTGAGTTTGGTGAAGATGTCTCATTCCGTTCAAGAGTTATACTACAATTAGCTATTGGCTAACGTTAGCATAGAAGGTTTTTTGCGCGCTGTTGCACACGAAAATCGAAATTTCAACTTTTTAAAATAATTATTGATATTCAGTGTCCAGACAATATTTCTGCAGTGGTTTGGTTCCGATCGGGTGAAAAACCTAGGGCTAGTTCACAAAAGTAGGTTTCGGACATAACTCAATTTTGCGGAAAAAACGTGCGTCGTAGAGAAAATCCATCCACTTTTGTTCGTGTTGACCCAAGGATTGCAACGATGTAAACTTTTTGAGTATACGACAAACGGTGTACGAGCTAGGGCCAAAAATGTCTGAATTTTTTTTGCGCTGTAGCACCCCCTTTAGTCCGATTGGGGCGAGCCTTTGGATCTAAGTAGCAAGCAAAACTACTACGATCTGACCAGGTTTCAGCTCTCTAGGTCTTACGGTTTGGGCTGCACGATCTGTTTTACCAGAGAAGAATAATAATATAAAAAAATTAAAAATTAAAATCCTTACTATTACAATAGGGTTTCAGCACTATGTGCTTGAACCCCTAATAATATTAATAATATCCCCATCCAACTCAAATTGCAAAGTCCCTTTAACGTTCTGCTCAACAACTAGATCACATTTTGAGTCACTATATCTTACTGAAAAATATGTTGAACTTAACTCAGTGTAATTGAGCCATCTCTATTACTTTAGGCATGTTATGCTAGAAATTTTGCTGAGCAGAATTATATAATTTGATACAAAAATAAACAGTCTGACAAAGGTCAGATAATTTTCTAAAAACATGCTCTAACAAATGGTTGATTTGTCAGTTTATGGTAGAAGTATTGAGACTAAGTTCGAATTGACTGTAACAAAATAAAAAAGTAACAAACAATAATAAAACTTAATGTTAGCCATGGCTTCCTGTTTCACAGAAATATAAATAGGAGGGAAAGCAAAGCCCAAATTCCCTTAATCACAATGTGAAAAACCAAAGAATATATTTCTGATGTGCAGCAAAAGATAATTGAGCTTCACAAATTAGAAAGTCACTTTAAGAAAAGAGCTAGAGCAGTGAAAATAACCATTTCCACCATCAGGGCAATAATTAAGAATTTCCAATCAACATAAAATGTTACGAAACTGCCTGGAAGAGGACGTGTCTATATCGTTCTAATGCACGGTGAGGAGGAGAGTTT